GAAGCACCAAACGGCCAAACCTAAAACACAGGAGACACGTGTCATCATCACAGCAACTTGCACAAAGTCCCACATCGGAACTTTGTGCAAACCTCCTACCGTTACTTCCCTATAAATAGGAACAGTAACCAAGAAAATGGGAACTTCTCTCTCCCACTATTACTGCTACTTTGCAATAGTCACTCACCCTAGCTGACTCAGGCATCGGAGAGCCTTCGGCCGGCACCACACCGGTGTCCGAAGCTTACGATTGCTTCTCCTATCTTTGTCTTTTGCAGGCTAGCCCCCTACCGAAGGCCCAGGCCCTTCTCTCGCTAAAGACAACCCCCTCTCTCTAAGTTGACCCTCCCCGAAAAGGAGCATCAACATATGGCAAAGTCATGTTGCGCAAAACCCTAATAAACTAAGCATCCGCTGAATATAAAGTTTTAGGTCATCTCCATATCCTTATGTTTACGCGTTAACTAACTTGCTGAGAAAGTCTGTTGTGCCCTAAATTCTAATATTGTATGAGCCATGAGTTGTGTGTAGAGAGAGAGAGAGAGAGAGAGAGAGGCTGATCTCATGTTTACAACACAGCTGGGCATGAGACCATTTGTCCCCTACTGCTATAGTCTTCTAGGATCGAATAATCAAATTCTTTTTTTTTTGTTTTTGGCCGAACAATAATCAAATTAATTCATGACGCAGCTTTCGGTGATAAGTACATTTAGTATTCTTGCAAAACATTTATTTACCCATATATCACCATCTACTCTACATAAATTTTAATAGAAGTAAGATTTATCTGTTGCGAGTGTCACCTTTATTAGAACCAATAATATATTAAGTGATCAGCTGAAACGATACAAATAACACTACTCGACATTATCATTTATACGATGAGTAAATTTGAGCTACATCATTTTCAATAGAAGTAAGATTTATCTTTTGTGAGTGTCACTGTTATTAAAAACAATAATATATTAAGTGATCAATTAAAATGATACAAATCACGCTACTATTCTAATCATTTATAAGATGAGTAAATTTGAGATGACATAACGCATGAACATGGCAGTAAATTCAAACATATGAAATCGTCAATTAAATATCTATCTGGATTCTGAACTTAAGAAAATATAAATTAGGCACCAGAATTTTACCAGTTCACGACCACGCAGTATATATTTTACCCTGGGTAAAATCAATGTATGGAGTCACTGATCCGGAAGAAGAGAGAGAGAGAGAGAGAGAGAGAAGCTCTGATCCGGAGTCAAAGAAAATGGAGAAAATATGAGAAACGTTTTTTAGTATCAGAAGCTTGAGGATGGAAAAATGTGAGGATTGATTTTATAGCAGACCATGTTTATGCAGTACACGATACATGAAGTACAAAAAATGTACTTCATTAGTTAAGCACTTAACCGCTAAACTATTTATTTGTCCAGCAGTTGGCCAGAAAATCTAAAATTCCCATAAAAATAATACATAAAATATTTAATTCAAGCTTCTTTGTTTAATATTTAACATATCTCTACGATGATTAATTTTTTTTATTTTATATTCTTCTTCTTTTTGTTAGAACATTTTCAAATGTATTTTGAGAAGGTATGATTGCAAGCAGTTTTCCTTCTGAATACATAACAGATTTTTATTTTTGTTGAAACTAATTAGTCCAATGAGATAAGTAATTAGTCCAATAATATTACTTGTTACGAGTGCTTCTATAGTGAGTGGAAAGTTATAAGGGGTTTTTTTGAGGGGTATGTAAGAGCCGGTTGGGTTTCTCCCACGGTGGGGTTTTTTCACATTCTCTCAAGCTGACTGACTTCGGAGCTCCCGATTGACTTTGAGAGGTAAGTTCACTCTTGCTGGATTGATTTTGTTGGGTTTGATTTGTTTTTTGTGAGGGTGAGAAATTTGTCATTTGTGGCATCAATAATGCGTCATTTGCTCTGCTATCAATAATGCGTCATTTGACTTTGAGAGGTAAGTTCACTCTTGCTGGATTGATTTTGTTGGGTTTGATTTGTTTTTTGTGAGGGTGAGAAATTTGTCATTTGTGGCATCAATAATGCGTCATTTGCTCTGCTATCAATAATGCGTCATTTGACTTTGAGAGGTAAGTTCACTCTTGCTGGATTGATTTTGTTGGGTTTGATTTGTTTTTTGTGAGGGTGAGAAATTTGTCATTTGTGGCATCAATAATGCGTCATTTGCTCTGCTATCAATAATGCGTCATTTGACTTTGAGAGGTAAGTTCACTCTTGCTGGATTGATTTTGTTGAGTTTGATTTGTTTTTTGTGAGGGTGAGAAATTTGTCATTTGTGGCATCAATAATGCGTCATTTGCTCTGCTATCAATAATGCGTCATTTCCTTATGAATATTCAATATACTTAGTTGATTATTTTTGTTTGGAGGGGGATTGGAAATTTATGAAATGTAGGTAAAAGATCCTAAACTTAGGCTTAATGGCATTAGGAGTAAGCATTTGGAGAGGATATTGGGTGAAGTTCTGTAATTGCTGGTTTGAATTACATTTGAGTTCTTAGTTGAACATGTTGGTTCTAATGTTATTTTTTCCAGATTATTTCACAAGAGATGACGTAACTATTATTAAATTTTGCTTGTGTTTTGTGTAATCAGAATCCAACAAGCTAGGCTATGCGTGTATTGTGTCAATTTGGGCAATGTTTTGTGTAAGTGGAATGCATTGATAAGTTGTGATGCAGTAATGATTGATTAATGAATTAACATTTGCTATGCAGTAATCTAGAAGTAGATCAATTATATACGTGGATAAAATGTCTGGGGGCTCAGAGAGTGATGACTCTGTAACAGCTAATGGGAGGGTTTACATTCCTGAAGTAAGAAATGAGGAAACACCAGCAGTTGGGATGAAGTTCGACTCGCTTGACCTCGTTTATAATTTCTATAATAGATATGCATTCCTGGCTGGCTTTGGTATTCGACTTCATTCCAGCTTTTGGGGGAAAAATAAGAAAGAGATTCTGAGAAAAGAATTTGTATGTTGCAAACAAGGTGCATACCGGAAGGATGAAACTCGGGAGAGAAAAAGACAGCGGGGAATAAGTAGATGCAATTGCAAAGCTAAGATTGTGGTTGTGAAGACACATGGGAGCAAGAAGTATACCATCTCTCTTTTTGCAGAGGGACACAATCATAAGATGACACCCTCAGGAAGAATGCATTTACTGAGATCACACCGTCGTATTTCAGATTCTACAAAAGTACTTACAAAACAGTTGGGTTCGGTTAATATTCCCATTAATCAGAAGGTAAGTATTTTCGAGGTGCAATCCGGAGGAATGGATAAAATCGGTTTTATCAAAAAGGATATGTACAATCTTGAATGTAGTGTGAATGGGAAGCTGAGGAACCACGATGTTGAACTAGTGACCGAGTATTTTATGGCTGAACAGAAAAAAAATGAGGCTTTTTATTTCAAGATTGAGGGAGATGGCGATAACAGGTTTAGTCGATGTTTTTGGGCAGATGCAACTTCTAGACGGGCGTACGGGTTTTATGGAGATGTTGTTGTATTCGATACCACATTCAACACGAATAGATACGACTTGACATTTGCACCAATGTTGGGAGTTAATAACCATGGTCAAACAATTGTCCTAGCATGCGCATTTTTGAGCAAGGAAACGACTGAGTCGTTTATTTGGATGTTTGAGGAGTTTAAGAAAGCCATGCCAGGTGGCGAACCTAAAACGATCATCACAGATCAAGATGCGGCAATGAGCAGAGCGATTTCAATAGCCTTCCCGACTACATTTCATCGACTTTGCATATGGCACATCACATCAAAGTTCTCTGGTAAGTTACCACATTCTGCTTATAAGGAGTATTGGGGTGAATTCCAGAAAGCCATATGGGATACTGACAATAAGGATGAGTTTGATGCAAAATGGAATATTGTGGTTACAAAGGCTGGTTTGACTGACCATCCATGGCTAAGTTCAATGTTTGATTTAAGGGAATCTTGGGTTCCAGCCTACGCACGACACTTTTTTGCCGCTGGAATGTCAAGCAGCCAAAGAGCTGAATGTTCTCATGGTTTCTTCAAGCAATACATATCAAGGAAAAATTCGTTGATGGATTTCATAATAAGATTTGAGAGGGCACTTTCTCATCAACGTCAAAAAGAGTTAGTTGCTGATCACGTAGATGCATTTGAAGTGGCTCAATGTATTCTACCGATGCCAATGAACAAACAAATGGCTACCTTGTACACAAGGACAATGTTTCAAAAGTTTGAGCAAGAACTAATACAGAGTACAGCATGTTTCCTAGAGCTGAAAACAGAGGATGCTTCTAAAGTTGTCTTTAATGTGAGCGAAAGGAAAAATTGGGAAACAAGAGTGGCAGAAGTCGTATATGTCAAAGATTCTGACCACGCATCGTGTAGCTGCAAAAGATTTGAATTTGTTGGAATTATTTGCAAGCACATCCTAGCATTGTTCAGAAGGGACCAGATTGAATATATGCCCGATAAATACATTTTGAAGAGGTGGAAGAAAAGTGTGAAATTTGGATTGGTGTCAGATGCAAATGGCAACGAAATTAAAGACTCTGCAGATCCTGGTCTTTTAATAAAGCGGAGTACAATGTCCCGACTTGCTGCAGATGTGGTTGAGGATGCATTAATGTGTGAAGAAGGATGTGAGCTACTGTCAGAGACTCTAAAAAGTTTGCGGGTGAAGTTGAAGTTGTTGAAGGATGGACCAAGTAATAACGAAGTTGGAGGGTCCAGCTCTCAAACACAGTATATGAAATACCCTAAGAGAGTAAGGTGCAATGGAGGGTCGAAACGAGTAACGGGAGCAAAGGAAAAGGCAATGAAGCGAGGGATTAGACACTGTCGGGAGTGTGGACACATTGGTCATGATAGAAGACAATGCCCAAGAAATTTAAACACACCGTAACATGTTAACACTATTTATAATAAGACCTAAAATTTAAATAGGTAAAGTTCTTATGTGCTTCTGTTTGATGTTTATGCAGGACATCACCGTCGAACAATGACGAATCAACTCCAATAGATCTTAGTGACCCATTATTCGATGAATTTTACAGGATGCACGGACCAACTCAATGATTTAGGTTTCTATTATACGAAGCCCGGTTATTATGAAGACTAATGATCGGGTGAAGCTTTCTAGATGCAGTTTTATTATTATTATTATTATTTTGTTCATGTCCACCGATGAGCTCTTACTATGTCCATTGATAATTGAAATGAAAATTTGCTTGGTTTCATTCTTGCATGAAATTTGGACACATGTTAATTTTACGTCTTCTCCCTATTTAGAAATTTTCATAGACATTAGATAAAGCATCAAATTTTGATTTATGTGAAGAAGCAATGACTTTTACCTTGTAAAATGGGTAGGTTATGGTGAATTATGTTTGAATAGAGATTTATTGATAGGCTAATGCAGCACTTCCAGCAGCCAGCTGTTGTTTCCATTACCAGTAAAGATTTCCAGCAGCACGCATCATTTATAGCAGCACCCACTTTTTGCGAATGTTATGTTCTAGTGTTTTACTGGTGATTAAGATCTGAGCTGGATTGGTTATTAGGTGCACGATTTTGCAAACATTCGTA